AAAATTTAAAAGTTCAGATGAGGAACTGGCAGCACAAGGTACTTCCTGACACAAACAGGGATAAGGGGAAGCATGCCAATGAAGAGGATTAGGTTTTTAGACCTCTTTCTCTTCCCACCACTTTGAGTTAACAGCCATCCCTACCCCACCATAAACCCACAATTCCAGTCTCTGCTGAAGGCAGGGCAGGCCTCTTGATTAGGGTAGGAACACTGGTGGGGGCACCGTTATTCGCTCTAAGAAGAGTGGAATTCAGTGAGCTGAATCCTGTATGCTGAGATTTCAGATTACCTCCCCCGACTGTCAATAAAACTGTTAGTACTGGGCCAACGCCGTCCTTTCTGCAAGGATAAAGAACAACTGAGGTCCAATGGGGTAGCCACCCGCTGCATCGTACCTATGGAGCAGTTCAAATGTGGCTGGTGCTACCGAGGAACTGAAGTTCTAATTTAATTTTATTTACATTTAAATGGCCACCTATGGCTCGTGGCTAGCATACTGAACAGATCAGTATGCTAGAGAGAAAAATGGAACCACTTCTCTGGGACTGAATGGGCCATGAACATGAAAACATGAACAAACTAGGGGGTTCCCTAACAAATGAGCCATCCAAATCACCCCATAGTGAAGCCCAAAATTCAGAAGCCTCCCCACATGCAAGGTTTTAATTGTCATACTTTTTATGTGAGCAGAGAGAGGGCATCTAAGGAAATACTTTAATATGACAGTACAGACTAAAACAAACAGAAAAAAAATGGAAGGAAACAAACTACCCAGGGAGAAGAAATTCGAAGAAATTATCTTTAATATTTCTTGGGAAGACAAGCAGTGTACCATATCCAGGAAACAATAATAGAATGTTCTTGTGAGGAAATAAAATCAGACAAAGAAAACATTCAGAGAATAAAAATAGCTATTGAAAATTTAAGACAACAAAAATATTTACCCAAACTAAAAATTTACCAAGAGTTAGAAAATAAAGCTAAGAAATCCTCTAAAAAGTCAAGGAGAATGTAGGAAGAATATGAGAGGCCAGGACAGAAGTTCCCATACACAAAATACAAGTTCCAAAGAGTGAGTGGTGAGAAATTAAGGGGGAAGAAATTACCAACACATAACCCAAGAAAACTCGCCAGAACCACAGAAAAAGGTATTCCACCTTAAAAGAGCTTACTGAAAGCCAGATAAAGGATGAAAACAGGCACCCACCAAGGCATCCTACTGTAACTTTTAGAATAGCAGAGACAAAGAATATTGTATAAAACTTCTAAGGGAAAACAGGTCACATACAAAGGACCAAAAGTAAAACTGGCTTTGGTCTCTCAGCAGCCATATCAGAAAAAACATGAAGATAAAAAAATGGCCACGAAATTTTGAAGAAAACTATTTCTACTAAGTCACTTATTCAAGTGCTAGAATGGTTATAAAACATGATGATGCATGCCAATGTCTGTTACTTCTCATACAAACTTTTTCCCAAGAAGCTACTGAAAATGGGTTCCAGTAAAACAAAGGAGTAAATAAAATGGGAAAAACAGAAAACAAGACATTCAACATAGATGAGAGATCAAAAGAATCTCAAAGATGACCCTGAAGCGAGATCACAGCAGGGCAGTCATGGGAAAGACAGAGAAGGCATTCAGTCCAAACCCAGGGAGGGGTATTCGAAGAAAGCCTCCTGTGTTCCCAAAATTCTGGTTGCTGGATACACAATCTTTCTGAGACAAGAGCAGAATACCTTGGAGAACCTGTCAGAAATCTTAACCTGTACTTTTTTTGCTGGCCATGTACTAATGTAATTCCTGTTCTCCCTTCCACACACAAGCTTCCTGGTCAACTGATGACACTCATGTCACAGTCTTCTGCTGGACCCACCTAGAGAGAGAACTGGAGAGCCAACACCTGCAGAGCACTGCCAGGTGCACGGGCTATGGAGAGCCCTGTGTCTGAGGGTTCACTTGTGTGCACATGTGCTTCCCCTAAGAGGATCTGGTTCACTCTTTGGAACTCAAGTCAAGTGACCACCCAGACACTGCACCTCTGGGAACCTCTAGCTAATGGTGACAGTGTCAGAGTATACTTCTCAGTTTAAAAAAAATAAAATAACAAAACCAAACTCTGTGTGTGTGCACACATGTGTGTATCTCACAAAGGTATGATCAGAAAATAGTGATTGGGTAGTTATTTAAATTTTTAAAAAATTTAAAAGACACATTGCCAGTAGTGCCCCTCAAAACATTCTTCTGCACTTTGAATACATGTGATCAAGTATTCTAGTCACTCTCCTGTTTGGTTTTTCTGAAGCAGGGTTTTGCTTTGTAGCTCAGGCTGGCCTTGAACAGTCTACGTAGCCTCAGCTGGCCTCAGCCTCCCAAGTTCTAGGACCTAACGTATGCACCACCACACCCGGCCCTAGCCACTTTCTGAAATAGTTCTGAAAGTCCTCTTTCATGACTGTCTTCAGTTGTACTGTCCTGGACGCCTCCATGTCCACAAAAGTGTTTAACTTTCATGGTCATTTTGGGGACAAGTCAGAAGTCACATGGGGCCAGATCAGGTGAATAAGGTAGACAGAGACATGATATGTTTATTTGACAAAAATTGCCATAAATGTTTGAGACTCTGTCGAGATGAATATATTGGAGAAGTTTATGTTTTCTAAAACTACTCCAAAATAAATAAGCAACGTGTTGGTTTTGAGAATACAAAACCAAGGACATAAAATGAAAATGTGAACACTAATGTTAACTACTGAATATATATGTGTAATAGCATTGCAAAAGGATCACTTTGCAATGAAAATAAAAATGTATAAACATTTTTATTACACAAATACAACCTGATTACTAACATTATTTTACAATCTGAAGGCACTTAACTGTTCTTTAAATATGTAGTTGCAGACAGATGCTCTTTAGGCACTAGTCTTTGCTAGATCCACCCCGAGACACATTACATTGATTTAGTTTTTTCACAAACATAAGCAAAGTATTTGAGCTGATTAATTTCTCTTAAATCCACATATGCACATTAATTTGAACAGCCCCACTCTGATGCATACTTCTGTGTCTTCTCTGTAATTTCTGCTACAGAGTTTATACAAGCCTTTCTGTATACCCAAGGATCCACATAAAGTTTTTTCAGAACTTGGTAACACAGCACAACTGTCTTGCCTCATGAAACAATAATGTTCCTTTATTCCCCCAATGAGAAGAGCATTTGTTTTCCTTTTCAGTCTTGAAAGTCAGAAAGCTCATTGCTAAATTTAACACTCAATTCTAGAAACAAAGATTATGGTTATTATCACTTTCTTCTTTTATAATCGTTTTTTTCTCAACAGCATAATCTCGTTTTTATAAACCTCTTTAAAGAAATAGAATGTCACATTAATGATCTTATTCATCTTTATTTCATTAATTTCAAACCTGAGTCTTTTAAAGAATGATGTGAAGAAACTACTAGAAATTTTAATTTTAAAGTTTACAGTAGCTAGGCGACCCACACCTGTAATTCCATCATTAGGAGGCCAAGGCAGGAGGACTGCTGTGAGTTTGAGGCCAGCCTGAGTCACATAATTCAAAGCCAGCCTAAATTATATAAGTAAGGCCCTGTTTCAAAAAATTGTTTTAATTTAAAAATTTTACATTAAAATATATTCTGAAAACAAAGCTCACACCTCTTTAATCATGAGAAACAACAAGTAACAAATATAAGCCAAAAAAAACTTAAAATACATTTCTGTAGCAATTAAACATTCATGAGGCATGCAGAGGAAGCTGAAAGGACAGCATAAAAGAGTTTACTGGAAAAAAGAGGAAATTGTAAGAGCTATATGGGAAAAAGACAATATAACAGAAAATTAGGGCTGGGGAGTTAGCTCAGTGGTTCTGCCACCTGCCTCACAAGCACAAGGTCCTGAGTTTGATCCCCGGTACAAAAAAAAAAAAAAAGAACAGAAAAGAAACAAGATATAGTTTCTTTATTCTTAAGCACTACAGGCAAATACTACTTTTCTAGACACCAAAAGAAAGTACAAGGTAAGCAAGCATTTTAACTGACAAGGTCTTAGAAGAAATCAAATGACAGTTTACTAATTCTGATAAAATACAAGAAGACAATTAAAGAGCAGAATAGAGACAAACATTTTTCCAAAATGAAGCAAAGAAGAACTTTCCATAATCACTCGGTCAACAAGCTTGTTAACTCTCTGGGGAGAAGTTCACTCGAGTTCTGAGAACTCAATAAGGGTGTCTAGGGTTATGTCCAAAGGACATGACTTAGCTCTTATTACCTATCTCTCAAGTTTTGGTGAAGAAGAAACCAAATACATCCACATAAGATATACCTATATAAATATTATATATATGAATATTAGACCTGTTTTCTAAACCTTGACATATTATTTTACTTTAAATGTATTCAAAAGTTAATAAATAGAAAGAAGGCTGTAATTCTATTATCTAAAGTTCAAAATAGGTAACAACTTTGTAATGTTGGAAATATGATTAATGGTATCCCAGGGAGATGTAAAGCCAGTGTAATATTGGGGAGGGGTGCCAGGGGCTTCTGAGATTCTGGTAATGTTCGATTTCTTAATTTGCTGCTAGGTGTACTTGATGTGTTTATTTAAAGAAAAGTGAAGTGTGGACTTGTGATTTAAGTACTTTAAGTGTGTGGTATATTTGGACAATATAAAAGTTACATGTAATCACTTAAACTGGATACTTTGTAAATAACTCAATTAGATATATGGAGTTTACAGAAAAAAAATACAAATGGTCAATAAATATATAAAGAAATGTTTGACCTATTATTTTTATGAGAATGCAAATTAAAACAACGAAGCACCTTTTTTTTTGTCCCCAGGAGACGGGGAAAAAACGTCTGTTTTACCTGTGATACTGTAAAAGTCACTGTTGATGTCCTTGCCTTCACAGCTGGGAGTTTGAAGTAGTCACCTCAGAGGGCAAACTGGTAAGGAGCTATTACAATACACCTACCATAACTAAGTCCTTCTTCGTATCTGCCCCACACAACACTCAACATGCATAGAACGAAGATGCTTCACTGCTGTACCACCTAACAGAAAAATAAGACACATCAATGTCCGATGGTGGAGAAGAGCTAAATAAACTGGTACATGGAAACACTACGGAGAATGAGTTCGCATTGTGTTATCTAACCTAAACAGCTCTCCAAAACTTACTGCTAATAGAAAAACAATGTGATACCTTTCTTGGAACGGGGGGAAGCATCCCCCAATCTCCTGATCTGAAATGGTTAATGTCATTGAACAAATGTAGGTGGGTACAGTGGCGCACACCTGTAGTCCCAGTTACACAGAGGCGGAGGCAGAAGAGTCCTTTTAAGCCAAGGAATTGAGGGCCAGCTCAGGCAACACAAAAAGATTCAGTCTCTAAAAGCAAAACAAAACAAGTGTACAAAAATCTGTCTAGTAAGATGGCTGTTGAAGATATATATGGTTAACTCTTGGACACACTGTAACTGCAATTAACTGTGGCTAAAGGGAACTGAACCCTTCCATAATGCTTTAAAAAGAAAATATTTCCATTTGTTACTTTTATAGCAAAGGTTAGAGATAGAGCAACTTAAGCATAGCCAAAGTCACTTTTCAGTAACTCCTATGTTTTCATGATCCCACAATCAAGGCAAAAATGGTAAATGTTAAGGCAGAAATAACTTTTACCTCTTAGCCAAATGACTACTTATCATATTCCCAGCTCAAAATAAATTTTTACAAACAAATTAAAATTAGTGAAACATAAGTTGAGATAGGAACGACAAAAGTCCACTTGCTAAATCACAGAGGATGCTGGGCCTGACAAAGGTCACTCAAACCATCATTCAATTTATTTCACAGTATTTCCCTCCATCCCCTTAAAGTTTGAGCTCATATTTGGTTTCCCCTTCATGAGACACAGAGCTAGCCAGTCAAATGCACAACTGGAAAACGAAGTGACTGATGGATGCATAAAGACTGTCAAAGCAAGAAGTCTACTGAAACTAAATCCATACATACACAAAACCCGAACCTATGAATATATATTTCAAAAGTTATTTAAGGATAAAGTTCTAGCACAAAACAATTGTTTAAAAAGTTATGAAAAAACAAAACAGACATTTCTGCCTATATCCCTTTTATTTTAGTCAAAAACATACTCAAAGGAGAGGAAAAAAGTTAAAATAATCTGTCTATATTTACCAAGTTATTTCAATCAGCTCATTTAAACAGAAAATAAACACAACAGAAGTCATTCCTCAATCATTAAAAACCCATAAAATACTTTCACTATCAAATAGGGATGGTTTTCAGACCAAGAATAGTAACTGAACTGTGAACTCCTATGTGATATCATCTGTGGGGGGGGGGTAGTTCAAATTTTAAGAAGAGAAGGAGAGAAACAAGAATGGACATTGTAAATTCCAAATTAAGAAAAAAATCAGGAAATGTGACAGTTTTTAAAATCTTAGAGGCCCACAGCTAGAATTAAAATCACAGATCTCGTGATTAACGATCTCGTGACCTCAGACAATTCTCAGCACACCAGTGAAGCAAAGGAAGCGTGGAGAGACCAAGGGACCTGACGTGCACTCACAGTGCCAGAGCTGGGAGTAAGGGTGGCTGAGACCTCCCGTCTCCTGCAGACCTTAGAGAGGGATCACGGAAGGCAGCCCCATGGAGAGGAAATGAACAAAAGCCTGGGCCTGGATGAAGGAGAGGGTTAAAGTAAGACAAAAGGTGAAGATGAGAATCCAACCTCTGGACACTGTTGTTCTTTATGGTACACACTGCACAGTGACTGTTTAGTGCCCAGGCAGTTTTTCCAAATTCTCAGGATATCTTTTGCCTTGTTGCCCCCAAATTACTTCAAACAATATGCATTATCAACAGAAGCAAGACTTTTTTAAATGAAATGCCACCAATATTTTTCTGTGTAAATGGCAAGCAATTTCCTGTTATTATACAAAGTTTCCCCCCAAAACATGAAAGTTAAAAACCACATATACCTACAATAAATGGAACATACTACATGAAACCATTTTAGAAAGTGATTAAGGTAACTACAAGTTGCCTCCTGGCTCTTATTTAAGAGACTTCCTTCCTTTTGCATTTATTATGGTCTTGAAAATGTTAAATATAGTTATACTATGACCCACCGGCTCCACTCCTAGATATATATGTACACATACATGTATATATTATATAGACACATGTATACATATATAAATAATATATACAGACACACATATATCTCAAAGTGAAATGAAAACACAGATCCACACAAAAAAATGTATATAAATGTTTGTAATAGCACTATTAATAGTCAAAAAGTGGAAACCAACCAGGCAGGATGTTGCACACCTGCAATCCCAGCAGTCTGGGAGGCTGAGGTGGGAGGGTCACAAGTCCGAGCCCAGCCTGGGCAACTTAGAAACTTGAGAGACACTGTCTCAAAATAAAAAATAATAGGAGGTAAGGGTATAGCTCAGTATGAAGGCCCTGGGTTCAACCCCAGTACAGCAAGAAAAAAAAAAAAAAAAGTGGAACAACCTAAGTGTCCTTCTTCTGCTGCATGGAATAACAAGAGTGGTATAGGTCTCAGTGGGCATTATGGAATGAGAAAAGGAATGAGGTACCAATGCATGCTGCTGTAACATGCACCGACTTTAAAAATACTATGCTAACTGAAAGGTTCTTTTAACTCTCCAAATGCTACACTATGTAATTTTCATTCATGAAACAAATTTATCAACAATCTCAGTGACAAGCTGGAAAGATAAATCACACATAAGTTGGAAAGTCAAAGCTATGAAACTCTGAAGAAAAGGCAGAAACATATATATTATAGACCATGTTATTATATTGTTTATATTTATTTCTATTAGATTTTATTTTATGAACAGTTGAAATTTCTTTTTTCTTGAGATTTCTTATTACTTAAAAATTCGTAATAAATACTTCACATTTACTACCTCCTTTTTAATGAGTATAAATACAGTCAATTTCTTATTCAAAGCATTTCAGATTGAATTCCATTAACCATGGAATTCTCTGCAAATGTTACAAAACACTTTTCTGACTTATTCTGAACGACAATGATTGGGTTTCAGTTTATATATAAAAGTATAGTTTGTACAAATAATAGCAGGGTTAATATCTGGAACATCTGCTTTACTATTAAAACATTTCTGCTGTGACTCCTTTTTTCCCTAGACTAGCAAAAATTAAAATAAATAACAGATGGAGATGGACCCTAGCACTCTCTCCGTGCACTTTAAAGAGTTTCGTGCGGCACATTGTTACCAGTGACAAAAACATAAATGGAGAAAGGAATATGAAATTCAATAAAAACTGTTCATTTGGTAATAAAAGCTCATGAGGTCTAAAGAAAGACAACTGATGTTCATTAAAACAAAAGACAGTAAGAACAAGGAGATAAATCTTTTATAAATGGAAAGAAGACCAAGAGAAGGTGGGGGGAGGTAAAAAAGAATTAGGATGTGTGGTGAACATGTACTAACTCCCCACGATGAATGTAATCATTATGTACTGCCAGTATGTACTAATAAAAAGTAAAAATATTAAAAAATAAAAATTACTTATGAGCCAGGCATGGTGGTGCATGCCTGTAACCTCAGCACTCAGGAAAATGAAGCAGAAGGATCACTGTCAGTGCAAGGCCAGCAAGGGCTACATAGTGAATTCAAAACCAGCTTGAACTACATATTGAAAACCTGTCTCAAAAAAAAAAATTTTGTTTATAGAACCTAGAAATGTAACCATGCTATTTGAAGATAAAAGGAGAAAATTCTCAGAACTGCACAATGCACACATTACAATATTACGGCAGACATCCCTGAAAATTCATCTACTTAAAAACCACGCAGCCTATCAAACTGCCTATGGTCTATAGTTCAAAAGAGGCATTAGAGTAATAGTCTGTGAACTTTTTAGCCTGGAAACACTTGATACAGAAATCTTACCGAGAAGACACATGTTAAGCGCAAACAGCAGCTCTGTGTCAGAGGTGCCCCTCACCAGCAGATCCCTCTCTGCTCTCTCAAATCTTAAGAATGTCATTTGAGCTCAGCTCAGATGAGACAACAGACCCAGATTTACTTCCTTTTTTTGGTACCGGGGATCGAACTCAGGACTGTGTGTTCTTGAGTGGCAGATGGCAGAACCACTGAGCTAAATCCCCGGCCCCTAGAAGATTTACTTCTGATAGTTTCCTTTCCTTTTCTTACTACTAGGACAATTTCTTCTCTCTACTGCCTGGTGGTTTATTCATAGAATCTTCACTTAAAAGTTAGACACAAAATTTTAGAGGTAGAACAGGCAGGGCAGGACATCCCACCCAGTCTGATCTCTTTCTGGGGTACTTGGATCTTTACAAACTGGTTGCTTTAAAAATATGCCTTTTTTCAGAGATCATCAAAAGACATGAGAGGGAAATCCCACAGAAGGTAATTTACATCTAATATTCCAATTCTCACAACTCTGGCAGGTAAGAAAAAGTATACTCATTTTACAGTTGCAAAAATAGGCTCAATGCTCACTTCAGAAGCACATATACTAAAATTGGAAAACAGGCTCAGAAATAGTCAGACAGGCCCAGATCATGTAATTGACAAGTGGCAAAGGCAGGACTTAAACCCACAAGGACTTAACTCCAGGGCCTGTGCTCTTTCCAATAAAGGACTGACTTCACATTTGTGTAGCAGAAATTCCAGGCTATGAAAGAAAAGAGGAACCCATGACATGGACAGACAGGAACATCTACCTTGTCTCCAAAATAGGAACAGAATTGATAGTATCTCCTAAGATGAGCACTCTAAGTTCTCAGCATCACCGAGATGGGGCTGAAGAGAATGGTGGTAACCCACTGAAGAGAAAGAGGAAACAAAATGAGCAAAACACCAACAAAGCAAAACCCAATTTAACTGATCAACGTAAATAAAGTTTAATGAACATGTAATCAAACCGTGGGCATGGTGGCATAGCCCTGAGCTACATAGTGAGTTTAAGGCCAGCCTGAACTACATACTGGGACCTT